GTAGGAGGTGAGCCTCCATTAAAGAAAATTTATTTTTATTTTCCTATTTATTTAATATAAATTATTTCTATTTAATATACTAACAAATATTATATCACCCTATAATAGCACCTTTATTTTTGTTATTCTAGAGTTATTTTGTTGGGCTCTTTTTTCCTTTGAGCAGTAACTGATAGAAGACATCGGCAAAGTAAATAGATTAAGATTTCCTAAATTACAATGACAAGTAAGGAAAAAAAATTAATTTCTAACTTAATTATTTAATTTGATTACATTTCTCCCATCCTATAGAAAATTTAGTCCCCAAATTTAGCTCACCTTAATATAATAGATGAGGATATTGCTCTCACATATCTGTTTCTCTTTCCCACATTGCCTCCTGAATGGTATTACCAACAAATCTTTACCAAAGATATAAGTTTATTCCTTAGAATATGTTCTTTCCTTTCCAAGATCTGGGTTGGTTGTTCTCCAAAAATGACATCATCTCTTAGTTGTAGAGGTTGGTAAGATATGACATATGTTGGATGCCTAATATATCTTCGAAGCATAGACACATGGAATACATCATGGATGCTAGCCAAAGTCGAGGACAATGCTAATTTGTTCGTCATAGGCCCGACTTTTTGTAAGATCTCAAATGGACCAATGAATCTTGAGGCTAACTTCCCGTTTGACCAAATCTTATAACTCCCTTTGTTGGTGTCACTTTTAAAAATACATGCTTACCAACTTCGAACTTTAGATCTCTTCGCCTTCGATCTGCATAGCTTTTCTGACAACTTTGAGCTGTTAATAATCTTTGGCGTATAATTTGAACATTATCAATATCTTTTTGAATTAATTGAGGTCCCAAAAACTTCCGTTCTCCTACCTCATCTCAATATATATGTGATCTGCACTTTCTTTCATAAAGAGCTTCATCTCAATATATAGGTGATATGCACTTTCTTTCATAAAGAGCTTCAAATGGAGCCATTTTAATGCTAAAGTGATAACTATTATTATAAGAAAACTCAATTAGGTGCAAGTGCATATCATAACTCCCACCAAAGTCCAAAGAATATGCTCTTAAAAGATCTTCAAGAGTTTATATTATCCTTTCTAGCTATCAGTTTGGGGGTGAAAAGCTATACTAAACTTTAACTGTATGCCTAAAGATTTTTGTAGACTTCTCAAAAACATAAAAGTGAATCTTAGATCTCTATATGAGATAATGCTAATTAACACCCCATTATATCGAATAATTTTCTTAATATATAAGCTTGCTAGTTTATCCAATGAATACTTCTTGTTAACAGGGAGGAAGTGAGCAGATTTAGTAAACCTGTCTACTACTATTCAAATTCTATCATATCCTTTCGTAGTCTTGGGTAATCATGTCACAAACTCCATAATGACTTGCTCTCACTTTCATTTAGAAATTTAAATTCTTTATAATTTTTCCGTCGGTACTCAATGTTCTACCTTCAGACATATCAGATATTTAGAAATAAAATTTACTATATCTCTCTTCATACCACGCCATTACTAATTTTACGGTAAATCTCGAAACATCTTCGTAGTCCAATTTTTAGTGAGTGAGGCAAGTTTGGGTTCCATTTCTGCTCTGCTGTCTTCCTCAAAAGATTCTGCTTTGGTTTCATCTCCTGATTAACATCTGAGTAACTTCGTCTCCGAATAATTCTTAGAGATATACAACCATTTCTGAATGGGAAAATTGACTCTCATCCTTTCATCATTGAATATTTTACGTGCCAGAGTGGACTTCCCGATTCCGCCCATTCCAACAATCCCAAAAATACGACATTTTTGTTTGGTGTCCTCTAGCATGGCATTGATTAGAGTATCAGCATCTACTTCGATTTGTCCCCCTACGATGTCCTCCTCGACTTCCAAGGAAGTCGTCTCAAGCACAGTCGGTTTTTCGGGTTGGGGTTGGTGACTACCAGAAGACTGTAGATTACTAAGGATGGAGGTATGCTCAGCTATTTGTTTCAGTCTACCATTAATGGCTTCGATTTTACCCGCAATCTCATGGCGGTGTTTGGTACACCGAAAGCAAGAAGAAACAAAGCTGAAAGCGAAGCTTACCCCCGAAGCCGATGCTGATCCCCCAGCCTCCAACAGTTTGCCACCGTCCATCATGCACAGATCGATGATGTCGTCGGCATCGTACATGATGTCTTTCAGCTTCCTCACCCAGGCCTCGATGCCGGGATCCCCACGGCTTTTCCGCTCTGCACTTTCGAGGTAACATTTGATCATCTCCAGCTTCTCCTGCAGCGTCTTGATCTCCTTCTTCACGCCCAGCACTTTGCATATCTCTCCCTCAACAAAGCCTATCACTTGTTCAATGCATCTTGAAACAAATAGATCCAGCATCATTGCCATCTCTCAAACAAGGGAAATCTCGCCGCACTCTCGGAAACAAGACTCGGATGTTTCGCACGGGGAAGTGGTGGTTTCTTGAACACACACG